CAATACGACCAGGCCCTGACCCTAATGCCACGAAAGCACCGTGACCTGGACTCCATGCTGACGTGTCTATATGACAAATGGCAACACCATGATTTATCTTAGCCTTTGTCTCTACGTTAAGAATGTCTGCTTCGTAGACCCTAACTTTTGGAACAGAGTGGCAGTAATACAGTAGGTAAGGGTACAGGCTCTGATGGCATGAAACTGATTGTGTCACTCTACCACCGTTGATTCCCTTGACTTTTCCGATCATGACTTTCTCTTTTGACCCGACCACGTTATCGGTAGTCCTCACCACCACATTGTGGCCTAAAACTGATACGGCAAAGTCGATCATGTCCTCGACGGAGCCAACGCATCGCTTGGTCTCGCCTTGGCTCGGAGCACGCTCGCACTCTGCTAGCGCGTTAATAATCACGCGCTCCATGGTGGAGTTCTCCTGCGCGTGGAATATTGTCTTCATGTTGGATAATTCCTGGGTAGAGAACGGTAGTTTAGATGAAATTGTTCGGGGCAAAAATGACCTCCTAGGCATTTTGTCACGTATGTCGGGCATTTTCATCACTGTCCCTTCCTTCAGAATGGCTTCTCGAAAGAATTTACCCTCCTCTACCCATTTATTTACCGATTTGCCACTGGTGTTCAATGAACCAACCGTAGGAGTGCTTTTTTTGGTGTATCCCGCAAAATTGACACCCTTTGGAGAATACTCTTTAAACGAGTTGTTGAAACCATAAATCTTAAACCCAACCGAAGGATCTTTAGCTCCTTTACCATATTCTTTGAAAGTGTCTTTTCCTTCATTAAATGATTTTCCATAATTCACGAAATTTGCCTTCCCAGAACTGGAACCCTTTGCGTAAGACGTAAACGTGTCAGTACCTGCATTGGCCGAATTCCTATAACTTGTGAAAGTGTCTACTCCACTGTTTCCACCAGCCCCATAATTCTTGAAATTATTGTTAGGGTTGTTGGAATTTGTCGAATAAGCCTTGAACGAATCATTTGCGGAATTACCCGATTCCCCATATCCATTGAACGATGATCCAATAACATTAGACGTGTCACCATATGTAGTAAACTCAGCAGGCACACCATTTCCATTTTTGGCGTAGCTAATAAATGCTTCGTTTCCAGAATTAGTATCACCAACATAGCTCGTAAATGAAAGCTTATGATTGTTGCCGTCTGAATCGTAAGAAGCGAACCGAAGATCTGGGACATTGACACGTGGCATGTAGTTCTGGAAAGTTCCTCCCCCGCCAGTAGCTCCGGCTGCGTAGGAGGTGAAATTTCCGGATGCTACATTGCCGTCCGCCGCGTAACTATTGAAGTCCTCGCGATGGCCGGTGGAGCTCCGACTGTATTTAGTGAAATCGCCGGTGGCGAAGTTGACGCCATCGGAGTAGTTCTTGAAATTGTCTCCTCCACCTAGCCTAGAGGATCCATAGTTTGAGAATTTTTTGTTATTGTAGACAGCAAAATTTGCATCTTTACTAGGACTTGCGTCAAGGTACGGTTTCGAGTCAAAAAAACAGAATAATTTGGCGGAGGAGCAGAAGGAGGGAAGATGACCGGAGAGAGATTTTTGGGTGGCGAGACTGGTGTAGAAGGCGGCGTCCACGGCGGAGAGTGGTGAAGCTTTTGAAAAAAGGAAAGAGGGTATAGGGAGTTTGTTGGAGATTTTTTTGTTCCAATATCGTACAAGTGAAGCCTTTACCGTAAATGGATTTTCTTTGGGTAACAATGAATCTTTGCTTTGTTCATTTGTTTGAGCCAATGAAGCCTACAAGAAAAAAATGAATAAGGGCTGTAAGAGACAAATTAGAAGGTTAAATGTAAAGGAATTAGGGACAAATTAGAAGGCGTGTATAGAAAATCTATATGCTACATAAATTTCAAATGAGAATATAAAAAACGCAATGTATGTACAAGCTAGTTAGTTACACTTACAGTGGAGGAAGAAGAAGACAATAAGAAGAAGAACAAGAGAAGAGAAATCTTGAGTTTGACACTTCTGTCCATTTCACCTTTGGCCTCTTCTATGTTTTGAGTCGTAAGGTTGTGGAGATAACGACATAAATAGAAGATCCAATGGACAATTTCTCGTACTTTCCTATTTTACTGAGGTTTTATTTTACCGCTGTTGATTTTTAAATTTAATTCTTTTACTTTCGGTGTAGAATATTAGTTTGCGTAACTTATTTAGCAAAGTGACAAAGATTCTCATTGTCCAATTCATATATTCTTTTAACGAAAGAAAAGAAAGCAGTTCTTACTCAGATCTAAATAGAGGAAGTCAGTAAATTAAACCACAGATGAGACTAGCTAAATGAGAGAAGGCACGTTTTACAAATAAAAGCAGATCCCTTTTTGTTCAGATATAATCCCAGCCAAATAGATATAGGCCTCCCCTCATGCGTCATGTAAGGTATGCATTAGTTTTCATTTATTTTTTCTTTCTGTTTTACTTTACTGCGAACTATTTTCATCTCTTATCTTGTTGCCTATTCAATTAAAAGCGAAAGATTATTATTGGTGGTGTAGTTCGTAAGTTAGCCTAGATTGAAAAGATGCCGTTGTAAAATTTTATTTTTTATTTTTTTGTGAAAAATGAAGACCATTGAGGAAACATTAGACTCTGGATTTAGAATCAATCAGTTTAGAATAAACATTATATTATTATAGGTTTATAATCGAAATGCTTTTTGTGTTTATGCACATAATTTAAACCACAAGAAATAAGTCTAATTGAAGTGCAGAATTCATCCTAAATCCACCATCACTCTCCTCCAATATGCAGGAAAGAAAAGAAATGGGTATTATAGCCACAGAAACAGTCTAGTGTAGAAATTATGAGTTCAACTAATCATACATTAAATATGTAATAAATTTGTGATGGCGGAGAATCTGAATTCATAACGTTTTAATCCTGTATAACCATAGTACCCAAAATGCAGAGAATACCATCTTGAAAAGAAGAAATAGGACTGTTTTGATAAAGCATTGTACTCCAACATCTGCTCTATTCTGAACTGACAACTGTGAACCTGAGAGAGGTTAATTGAAGGGTTTGCCCACAGCATGCTTTCGATATTTGCATTGAACATTTATCTAAGGATAACTAAAATTAGCAACTAGGCAAGTTGGAGGGTTGCTGGACCACATTATCAAAGCATTAGTGTCATGCGCAGAAAACAAGACAAAGAGCAGGCATATAACAGTGCACTACTACTGACTACTGAGTAAGATTCCGATAGGACACGAACATCTAAGCTTTTAACAAGGAGATGCTCTGTACTGTGATTGATTCAACTTATTATAAAAGTGAAATTAGTAATTGAAATTAAAATACATTACCTAATACAACAAAGTTAAAATCAAATAGTATGAAATTTTCCACAGAGTGTATATAAGACAGCAGTAATAATTTTAATAAGCTAGAGTACAAGGAACAATCTCTCAGACATGCTTCGTTTTTGACCAATTGTGAAATCCTTTTTTTAATGGTGTCAGTGAGACCACATTGTATTCGAATCTTTGTGGTTTCGTCGTTTGATGCAGCTATTTCTGTGCTACTAGTACCTATTGCATCTAACCATATGCCATATCCACTATGGTGGAGCATTTGTTTTTTCCTATTAGAACTGTGGGCGGCAGTAAATCGAAGTTTTTTAATCAGGAGCAATCATCGACAAATTATTATTTTTAAATATTCTACTCCAGCGATTTTGTCGCAAAAATATAGTTAAATGAAAAAGTATTCTAACAACTTAAACTTTTAGAGCTCATTTGGCCATAATTTTTTTTTTTTTTCTAATCAGTATTTGATCATAAAATTTTCAAGTTTTACTTGAAAATGAATTTTAGAATTTTTCAAAAATTTAAAAAACTTCAAAGTTGTTTTTCAAAATTTTCACTCAAATCACTCACAAAAATTCAAAAACAACCCAAAATTATTTCATGTCCAAACACAAGTCTAATTTTTAAATACAATTTATATTTAAAAAAATTAATTTTTTCGGAAATTTTACAATTCTTATGTCCAAACGCCCACTTAATTGGCCGAATGCTGTTTCTTAAATCATGGATCCACGATGACTTCTAATTACTTCACAAATTTTATAATGGTTAATGCTCATTGTCTTGATTATAGTGTCTACTTTAATCTGCAAAGCTTGTCAATTAATGTCAACTTGCTCTTTTCATTTACACTACGCATAAAATATACGATCACAAAGTTTATATATACATATAACGCAAACACTGCGACACTATCTCCAACTTTTGCTGTTCTTTTGAAGTATTATCTTCCACAGTTTTTTTTCTTTTGACAAGGATTAGACTCGTAACATGTTTGACGACGTATGAATGAGAAAAATATTGAAGATTGTTTTGGGCCAAGATAATGTAGGTTTGAGAAATCTAGTAACATGTGACCCATTGCCGATGTTAGCCTACTTAGTGAAAAGCCCGGAGACTTCAAAAATTCACCATTTTCGTTCACCCAAAAAGTTTATATTTTTAGTCTAAATTAACTTAATATATGCCTTTTTTGTGATCTCTCACAAGCAAATACCGCAAGCAGATTTGTTGCTACTTTTGTTGTTTGGGCCTAAGAATTATGACGACTATTTAAGTTAATTCTTCAATTTTATGTTCTCCTCATTATCCCCTAATATATAGGAGCAGGTGATGTCGTCAAAGTCTCGAGGAAATTGAGCTCTGTACAATGGATTGTTCATGAGCTTCCAATAATCTATTGTCTAAGACAATGACGAAAGTAGTTAAAGACTTTTTGTACATCTCAAACGTGTTAACATACTTGATGGAGATTTACCTACCCATCACATCATAGCCTTAGCAAAATATCCACAGAAATTGCAACAAGTTATTAATTTTTTACCTTTTTAGTCTCTTTAACATAGCAAATATTTGACCATATTAGTATTTGCAAATATTAAGCTTCAATATTTGAAATTATTAAAATACTTTATGGATAAATGGGGCCAAAAGAAGAAAAATAAACAGAGAAACAGATGGAGGAATTTTAAGACTACAGTAAAGATATTTTTTTCGTTGTGTGGGTGTTAGCTAGCATCAGAAAAAAATTGATCTTTCTCGTCACTCTCATAATCTCAACTACACATTTGTTGTTGTCCTCTTTCTTTCCTAACTTGTGTTATGAAATCAGAGATCAGTTAAAATCCAGTCAATAAACAACAACAATGGTAAAAGCTTTTACCTCCAATACTAGTCTTCCGCCATGTAATTCCTCTGAGCCACCTCCAATCCCATGTCATCCTCAATTCCACCTGAAACCCAACACCCGCCGTCACCTTATCACCTCACTTTCCATTCTAATATCTCCATTTTTCGCTTCTCCAAAGCTTAATTATGACCCACTTAGCCCATTTTCTTTACCAGTATCAAATGCGCGTGGGCTTTTCCAAATGCCACCTGTTCGCCTCACCAACCGGTAATTCTTGAATTCTTATGCTCGAAAGTTGTGATTTTTTTATGAGCAATGTGTAATTTGTTGAGGTGATTGGCAGGTATTTTTTGGTGAGAGCAGGGGAGTCGGAATATGAGAGTTTGGGGATAATTAACACAAACCCAGTTGCCAAAACATCTGTGGATAATGGGCTGTCTGAGAAAGGGAAGAAACAGACAGTGAGAGCGGCGTTTGATTTGAAGGAAATGAGAGCTTGTGAAGGAAGTTGTTGGATTTGGCCTTCCATTACTCAGAGAGCTTATCAGGCTGCTGAGATTATCGCTGCTGTTAATGGTATCAATCGAAGGTATTCACAGTCGTAGTAATAATTGCCTCAAAGTAACAGGAATTATTTTCTTGAAATTCACTGCATTTGATTTGAGGGTTAATGTTAAATGCCAATGCTAACGCAATGCATGGTTTTGTGATAGTTCATTTCTTTTTATTTTTTACCAGAATTATAATTCAGTTGATATAACTACTTCGTTTTTTGATACTTGATTTGGCGGTGTTGCAGCCGTATAGTCCCCGAATATAGCTTTCTGGATGCTCGTGGATTGGGGGCATATGAGGGGAAAAGCTTGGATACATTATCTGAAGTAAGATGCTGCCTTTCTACCCAATCATATAAGTAATACCGTCTCTCATTTATGAGTTAAATTAAACATTGACACTAATATATGTGCATGAAATGTATATAGTTATGAATTATGCGCACCGGTGGTGGGGAAGGATTAATTTGTTGCAGCTGAAGTCAATTTTTAATCCTATTAATAATCATAAGACGAAACAAGTAGAAATTTTCAAGAATTTTGGAATCCATGCTCTAGTATTTTCTGCCAAGGGATCAACAATGAGTCATTTCTCTTGCTTCAGAGAACTTGAATTAACTCTTTCTACTCAATTTGCCTCCAAACTAACTATACTCTTATATGCTAAAAATGATTCTAGAATCATTGCAACACTGCCCACTTCCCTTTACCCTACTTAAATTAAGTTTGAACAACAATGTAGGTGGGAGAGCAATCAAGAACCAAATCGTCCTAAATACATGACCTGTTTAAATAAGTTCCAGATATAATGTTGCAGGTGTATGAATCAGACAGCCTTTCTCCGAATATAAAGCCACCCCCTACTGATGATGGAACACCTAATGAGAGTGTTTCGGATGTCTTTGTTCGTGTAACACAAGTTATGTCAGTTCTTGAAACCCAATACTCTGAGGACACGGTCATTATTGTTTCACCAGATTCTGACAACTTGACAATTCTGCAAGCTGGTTTAACAGGGCTTGATCTTCGAAGGCAAGTGACCGCTACTCTGTTGCTTGCAGTTTAGGTCACTCCGATATTTAAATGGCTTTTGCTTTCTTGTTGACATGTTCCTCCTATCATATTTGCAGGCATAGGGATCTATCTTTTGGACCAGGTGAAGTTAGATATGTTGATGCTAGCAGTATACCTACCTATAAGCAACCTGAATCAAAAGTTTATAAATGCTTAAATCCCCCTAGCTGTACATGACATTATATTCCAAGTTTGGATTTCGCCAACAACAATGCAGGTGAAATACGTGCGTTTTTACAACTATATATTGTTGGCTTAGACATCATGTTTTATATATACCGCTGAACAAAGTCTTGACATTCTTCTTCTAATGGTTTCATTCTCTGAATTCCAACTGAAGCTTTAGTTAAAAAGTTCTTTACAGGGCTGCAGCTATAGTAAATTTCTCCACTGGAACGTTTAGTCAGTGCTACATGTAAATGCGAGTTGATTCACTGCAATATAAATTACTATCATTTGTTATCACAAATGCTAAATATTTGACTTTCAACAGGATCATTTCTCATCATTGTTGGTGAAGATGGGCTCAGGTAGCTGTATGCATTTCTTCATTCTCAAAGTATGCTGATGTCTGGCCAGCACCTCCAATGCTTTTCCCATGTACATGTCATCAGTAGTTAGTCTTGGCAAAAAATTTCTTTCTTTTCTGTTTGTGCGTAATCAAGAACAGAAAAAATTGAGATAGAATTATGTACATTAATGGATATATTAACTGAATTTTTCTGTCTAAATGTCACTCACGCTCATCATAAACTTTTATATTGGAAATATGTCGCTTGACCTACTGTTTCAGGCTTACGAGAGATGTAGTTGTAACTCTTATTTTCCGCAAGTTTCAATTTATACATCTCATCAAATGATTGCCTTCTATTAATCCCTGTTTTCAGAGGAAGACAGGGAATTTCCCGCCAACAAAAGGTATTGGCATCTCCACGAACTTCCCGGTGACATAAGGATGTGCTACCGGAAAGCAGGGGACTATCTGTATAGGGTAAAATATGTTCATATTAAGTTCTAGCATAATAGAGCGACACGTGGAGCCGGAGACAGATGGAAAGCGAGGCAGGTGGAAATCAAGTCGGGGGACAGCAATCTCGGTTGTCCCTGAAGGGGATGTTGCTCATAAAGACAAATAAATACATGTTGCCCGGTAACATTCAATGGAAAATATTCCATAGCATTAAGTACATAGTCCGTTACAGAGAAAATAGCATTCACAGCTTGTCGTTACACATTCTTCAATGGCCCCCATAATTGTCATTTAAGAGGGGTTTGATCCCTAGAATTTTCTGATAAACTTATGCTATATAAAGCTCAATAATACTTTATTTCTTGTCTTCTAATATCTGCGACATATTCAGTGGCCAAATTTTATGATACAAGCTTTTGTCACGGCTAAGTTATTCAGTCTCAATGAATGAGCAATGATGCTTAGTGCTGACAGTGTAAGAATAGGATGACTGTTGACCTGCATAAAAATGGTAGCTAGCCCTAATATTACTCGCCAATTGTGACTAGGGCAGTTTTGAAATAAAGGACAGGAGAGTGGTCTAGTACTTGAAATTTGGTTGATGCATATTTCTTACAGAAAAAGCTCATGCGTTAACACATCTGAAGAATTTTGACGTAAAGTTTCCCGCTGAGAATGTAGAAATTAAACAACTTTTGGACAATTTACTTTTAATCCTTTTAATAAAAAGAAAACAATCTTTAATGCGCAGAACATGGAAAATTGGACTACGTTTCATCAATTTTACAATTTCCGTCTTTACAATTTAAGTTTTGTTTATATGAAATTACCTTCTACACAAAGTTTTGACAACATAACATAAATTTCTTATTTTTCACTTTTTTCTCCATTAGAATTAATGACCGTAACATGACATTATATTTTGAACAAACTGTAGTTGAAAACTCAAACCGCACTGGGCAAGATCGAGAACATAGCAAATCTGCAAATTTTCAGTTTAATGATTAGAGGTTTAGCTGCAGAATTAATCTAAATTGAAGTATAACATCTTTAGTACTGTTGTGATATTTAGACTATCATTCTAGAGAAATCTGGAACTATGAACTTTCTCTCGCTTTCAACTTTGTAGATAATGACCTCTTAATATAATATAATGTCTTATTATGCGTTATTCTTTGCATGGTCCTTAATTTTATCGATTAAAACAGATGGCTTTACCGTCACCAGGAGATTACAGCTTTTCTTCCCACCCTCTTTTGCCGACCCTTATCGAAGCTTCAAATATATTACTAGCAATTAACTTTTGGCATTTATTTAACAATAATTATTACCGCACTTTTTCAAGAAGACTGCTATATTTCTTCAAGCATATTGATTTTTTCTAACTTTGGGCTGAACTCCTTTTTTCTTTTTGTTTCGCAGTCTTTATATAAATAGTCGATCAAATTCATTGTTTACTTTTTCTGTTTTATATACATAAATTATATATACTAATTATATATAGATTATACATATAATATTGTACATAAATTTTATATATGTTATATATTCATCGATTATATTTAATTTAATTGGTTGAGTGTACGTCTATTTGGGTTAACTCTTTTTTTTTTTTCCTTTCTAAAGGACTTGCGAGTTGTGAATTTTGGACATAATGATGTGGTACATGTTTGTCGAAGTGTTAATTGTTAATGTTAATTTTTTCTTCTTTATAGTCTTATAGTCTCATTATGAACATCAAATTAAGAAATGTGACTAAACGGTGAACAAGGGAAAATAATGAAAAAGATAGTACATACTCGATGCTTCTAGTGCACTCCAAATCGAAGGTCATTTTCAAGCTGATTTGCTTATTACTTCTTTTTAGCTGGGGCTACGTTTATCAATCCGATCTCGATGTCTTTGATTTTGTTTATAATAGATGAATAATTTTATTTTCCAAGTTAGGCTAACCACACATTTAACTCAAATTGGGAATTGCTAGGTATATGATACAAATATATAACTTCGCAAATTACGGTAACCAATTATTAAGAGTAACAAAATTAAAACGAAAACATTATCGACTTTCTGTTATTTTCTGTTGCGAAAAATAACACAACAATCAAGACTGGAACAGTAAGTGGGTGGGAAATGAAAGCGATGGGAGAACCAATTTGAAACTCAACTTTAAGAGCCGTATATAAGAATCTTTTCACTTTTTTCGATTTTTTTTTTTTTTTTAAATTAGTGTTTGACCATAAAATTTTTAATTTTTACTTGAAAATGAATTTTAAAATTTTTCGAAAATTTGAAAAACTCTAAAAAATTATTTTTCAAAATTTTCACTCACATCAGTCACAAAAATTTTAAAACAACCCAAAATTATATTCATGTCCAAGCACAACTCTAATTTTCAAATACCATTTTCACTTAAAAAAAATTCGCTTTACCTTTTTGAATTTTACAATTCTTTATGTCCAAATGCCCACTAAGGCATACATGCTTACTTTAGCTACATATACTCATTTCTTTTTCACATTTAATGTCACAAATAATTTTGAACGGAGATCTAGACAAAATTGAAATTAGAATTAATCAGACGTGATATAATACTTCATTTGTTTCATTGTATATACATTTTTACATTTACTTTTTAATAAAATTGTCACACATTTTAATATTTAAAATTCTTTAATTTTTGATATTTTTTTTATTGCTTTTAACGCCTTCATTGTCCATTACTCCATTCTATAACATTTGGCTGAATAATAAAATAATAACACTTGTATAGAGAGGAAATAAAATTGAATGCCATATTAGTCTTCTGACTAAAATACATTTGAACAGTTCATCACCCGTAGGGAAGTAACATTATTTTTCTGATGAACTAAAAAAGAAAGATGAATATATATTTTGAAAATTAACGGATCAAATTTAAGAGATAATTTGAGTAAAATTAGTAATTAATTAATTTATTAATCAGACTCATAAATATAATAAAAGAAAATTATGTTTAATGATTTATTAACAATAATATCTTGCATTCCCACTAGTTATTGAAGTGTAACCAGAAGTATTATACGGGTCAAATGGTTTTGTGGGTCTTTACAAACTTGTTTTTAGTTTTATAACCCTATCTCTTTTTTACCCATGATAAATTTATTTTTACACATAAGAGATTTATTTTTTACACTATCTAAAAAGCATATTTTCTTAATTTTAACATTGTAAAGGCCATAAAGGGCCGTTCCCAAAATATTATACTTCTCTTGCCGTCCAAAGTAAATGACAGATTAAGATTGTAAGAAGCATATTACTGGATGTTTATCGTGCTTGATTCTTTCATATTAGTAAGAGTTTAGCCTTTGTTGTTGTTTTTTAACCATCAAATTAAGTTGATCTATAACACTAAATAATTGATTAGAAGAAACATATTAATAACACAATGATATTTGAACATCAGAATAAATAAAAAAAATTATATCTGATTAAACAACATTGGTTATGGAAATATTCTCATCTAACTTAGATCTTAAAGAATATTTATTAAATTAAATAAAAAATGAGAGGATGATAGAACGTACTTCGCACGGGCCCAAGCTTAAATGGACAAACTAACCTAATTACAGTTGATTAATCATTTAACTTTATATTTTATTGAAAAATTTGTTTAATGAGTACTTCAGACGAAATAAATGAGGTTTTCACTCATAAATTTTCAGTAAATTCTTTGAAGTCAAGTTCATGTCCACACATAATGCACACTTTTCAATTTCAATTTCATATATTTTTTCAAACTCAATCGGATATTGTTTGAACGTTTACAAAATTTTGAATTTAAATACTACCAATTTTTTTAAATTAGACCTTTATTTTGACGATAAAGAGATGTATAATGAAATGTGACTAAGATCCAACATTAAGCTATAGTAGTATTATTCTTTTTTTCTTTAAAGAATAGCAATGGCACGGTATAAGCATCAAACCATCTAATATTTATTTTATGTTTTTATTATGAGAATAATTTCCTTTCGTTAATATAATAATTCAATTTTGTTCCTATAATTCTAAATAGTTACCTAAGTAGTATTTCATCATTTTATCTCCTTTCGCTCTGGATGCCAATTAAATTCTTTTTTTCCTCTTTATTCTTTTGTGAAAATGTTTTAGGTTCTTACTCCATTTTTGTAAATCAATTAGAATAATATAAATAGCTTTCTTGTATTTTATTAGAGAATCTATCTTTAATATCATTATAAAATAGCTAATACCTCCGACAATTGTTACACTAAGTTGCACCAAGTCTAATCATGTAACATGATAATACTTATATTTAAATATGAATTGACATAGGGGTAAACTGATAATTCCATTATCATTCTTTTCCCTTAAAACACGTGTACTACACTTGGTAAAAGTAATTTATCGTGTAAACGTAAAGCTGAAGCATTGTTATCTTTATCCCAGTTTGATATTCTCCTCCATCAATGTTATCCCATTTTGCACATGCATGTGAATAAGATGAGGTAAGAGATAAACAGCGTATTTTTTTTCTTTATCTACGTGCCCATCTTATGCATTTACATTTTGGTTCCTGTTTTCATGGGCAACTTTGAATTTTGCTTAGTTTTAATCTGTTATTTCTTGCCGGACATGAATGCCTATGAAATTCTCCTTGCATTTTCGCTTTCATTTTTGTTTTTAGTATATCGTCTCTAATTTTTTTTATTTGATTATTGCATATACGGTCTTTAGTCTCTCTTCACGTTTTCTTAGTGGATTTTGTATATGCATGTAGTTGATTGTTTAAATTCTCCTATAGAAGTACACTGAATTTTTCCATGAG